AATATAATAGAATATAGCACTATAAATCTGATGAGTTACAAACGTATTTAGAAGGTTAGACAAGTTTGAGATATAAAAATTATTTGAGAATTATACAAGAATATAATAGAATATAGCACTATAAATCTGATGAGTTACAAACGTATTTAGAAGGTTAGACAAGTTTGAGTTATAAAAATTATTTAAGAATTATACAAAAATATAATAGAATATAGCACTATAAATCTGATGAGTTAAAACCGTATTTAGAAGGTTAGACAAGTTTGAAATATAAAAATTATTTGAGAATTATACAAGAATATAATAGAATATAGCACTATAAATCTGATGAGTTACAAACGTATTTAGAAGGTTAGACAAGTTTGAGATATAAAAATTATTTGAGAATTATACAAGAATATAATAGAATATAGCACTATAAATCTGATGAGTTCAAACGTATTTAGAAGGTTAGACAAGTTTGAGATATAAAAATTATTTGAGAATTATACAAGAATATAATAAAATATAGCACTATAAATCTGATGAGTTAAAACCGTATTTAGAAGGTTAGACAAGTTTGAGATATAAAAATTATTTGAGAATTATACAAAAATATATTAGAATATAGCACTATAAATCTGATGAGTTAAAACCGTATTTAGAAGGTTGGACAATTTTGAGATATAAAAATTATTTGAGAATTATACAAGAATATTATAGAATATAACACTATTATTCTGATGATCACAACCGTATTTCAGGGTTAGACAAGTTTGAGATATAAAAATTATTTGCGAATTATACAAGAATATAATAGAATATAGCACTATAAATCTGATGAGTTACAAACGTATTTAGAAGGTTAGACAAGTTTGAGATATAAAAATTATTTGAGAATTATACAAGAATATAATAGAATATAGCATTATAAATCTGATGAGTTACAAACGTATTTAGAAGGTTAGACAAGTTTGAGATATAAAAATTATTTGAGAATTATACAAGAATATAATAGAATATAGCACTATAAATCTGATGAGTTACAAACGTATTTAGAAGGTTAGACAAGTTTGAGATATAAAAATTATTCGAGAATTATACAAGAATATAATAGAATATAGCACTATAAATCTGATGAGTTACAAACGTATTTAGAAGGTTAGACAAGTTTGAGATATAAAAATTATTTGAGAATTATACAAGAATATAAATGAATATAGCACTAAAATCTGATGAGTTACAAACGTATTTAGAAGGTTAGACAAGAATTGAGTTATAAAAATTATTTAAGAATTATACAAAAATATAATAGAATATAGCACTATAAATCTGATGAGTTAAAACCGTATTTAGAAGGTTAGACAAGTTTGAGATATAAAAATTATTTGAGAATTATACAAAAATATATTAGAATATAGCACTATAAATCTGATGAGTTAAAACCGTATTTAGAAGGTTGGACAATTTTGAGATATAAAAATTATTTGAGAATTATACAAGAATATTATAGAATATAACACTATTATTCTGATGATCACAACCGTATTTCAGGGTTAGACAAGTTTGAGATATAAAAATTATTTGCGAATTATACAAGAATATAATAGAATATAGCACTATAAATCTGATGAGTTACAAACGTATTTAGAAGGTTAGACAAGTTTGAGATATAAAAATTATTTGAGAATTATACAAGAATATAATAGAATATAGCACTATAAATCTGATGAGTTACAAACGTATTTAGAAGGTTAGACAAGTTTGAGATATAAAAATTATTTGAGAATTATACAAGAATATAATAGAATATAGCACTATAAATCTGATGAGTTACAAACGTATTTAGAAGGTTAGACAAGTTTGAGATATAAAAATTATTTGAGAATTATACAAGAATATAATAGAATATAGCACTATAAATCTGATGAGTTACAAACGTATTTAGAAGGTTAGACAAGTTTGAGTTATAAAAATTATTTAAGAATTATACAAAAATATAATAGAATATAGCACTATAAATCTGATGAGTTAAAACCGTATTTAGAAGGTTAGACAAGTTTGAGATATAAAAATTATTTGAGAATTATACAAAAATATATTAGAATATAGCACTATAAATCTGATGAGTTAAAACCGTATTTAGAAGGTTGGACAATTTTGAGATATAAAAATTATTTGAGAATTATACAAGAATATTATAGAATATAACACTATTATTCTGATGATCACAACCGTATTTCAGGGTTAGACAAGTTTGAGATATAAAAATTATTTGCGAATTATACAAGAATATAATAGAATATAGCACTATAAATCTGATGAGTTACAAACGTATTTAGAAGGTTAGACAAGTTTGAGATATAAAAATTATTTGAGAATTATACAAGAATATAATAGAATATAGCACTATAAATCTATGAGTTACAAACGTATTTAGAAGGTTAGACAAGTTTGAGATATAAAAATTATTTGAGAATTATACAAGAATATAATAGAATATAGCACTATAAATCTGATGAGTTACAAACGTATTTAGAAGGTTAGACAAGTTTGAGTTATAAAAATTATTTAAGAATTATACAAAAATATAATAGAATATAGCACTATAAATCTGATGAGTTAAAACCGTATTTAGAAGTTTAGACAAGTTTGAGATATAAAAATTATTTGAGAATTATACAAGAATATAATAGAATATAGCACTATAAATCTGATGAGTTACAAACGTATTTAGAAGGTTAGACAAGTTTGAGATATAAAAATTATTTGAGAATTATACAAGAATATAATAGAATATAGCACTATAAATCTGATGAGTTACAAACGTATTTAGAAGGTTAGACAAGTTTGAGATATAAAAATTATTTGAGAATTATACAAGAATATAATAAAATATAGCACTATAAATCTGATGAGTTAAAACCGTATTTAGAAGGTTAGACAAGTTTGAGATATAAAAATTATTTGAGAATTATACAAAAATATATTAGAATATAGCACTATAAATCTGATGAGTTAAAACCGTATTTAGAAGGTTGGACAATTTTGAGATATAAAAATTATTTGAGAATTATACAAGAATATTATAGAATATAACACTATTATTCTGATGATCACAACCGTATTTCAGGGTTAGACAAGTTTGAGATATAAAAATTATTTGCGAATTATACAAAATATAATAGACTCTTGTATAATTCTCAAATAATTTTTATATCTCAAATTATGTGAAAGATTATTTTTGTAGTAGATTTTCGAAAGGACGTTATTGAGGATATTTTTTATACATTACCCCTTTTCGGGTTTATTTTTGGGATTTTGGAACTCGATGTAAAAAGCAGTTCTGATGCGTTACAACCGTATTTATAGGGTTAGACAAGTTTTTTTTTTTTTTTGACTTTTGAGTCAAGTTTGGGGTCATGTGCGAGACTCAATTATCTCCTGACGTTGGGAATATAAGTATTTTCTCTTGTCAAAATGTATTTTTAAAATTTAATCAGTGATGTTTAATCGCAGAAATTAGGGACGGATATCCGCGGATTTGGAGCATCATATCCGTATCCATCCGTATCAGACGTGGGCGAAACGTTTCGTTTCGTTTCGCTGTTTCGTTAGTTTCGTTATGTTTTTTCCTGTTTCGTCTCGTTTCGTGACGAAACACTTTTTAATTTGTTTCGTTTCGTTTTGTTAACGAAACACCTGTGTTTCGTTAACGAAACATTACTGATTTTTTAAGCCAAAATATTACCCAAAAACTGAAAAAATTTCCCATTTGGAGATGGCAATTCAAAAAATTTTTGCCTGCGGCGCTGAAAAAGGAAGAAATCTGGCTTAAGGATCCAAAATTCTCAAAAGTTTCGCCTGCGGCGCTGAAAACACGATGGTATACTTCTCACTACACGATGGTATAATTTTTATTTCAAAATTTTTGAACACAGTTCGAAATGTTCTCTTGTAAGCATTTGCATAGATTAAGGTGGACTTTGAGTAATATCGGGAAGAATTAAAGAAGTAATTATTATGTAGAGGGGTTAAAGGGTTAGACTACACGATCCCTCGATGTCCTCTTACTTCCCCAGATATCCTATTTAATCCCACTATGCCTCTTAATCCCTGATATATCGCGATGTCCTCCGATATCCGATAAAAATTTTGATTTGCGATTTCCGAGCTCCGACTTATGAGCCAGTTCTGATTTCCGGCTCTTCCGATTTCCGACATCTCTGACTGTTCTGACCGGTGGTAAAAGTTCGTGACGTGACATATGTCATTTGATTTGTCTCGACGAGCTGAGTCGAACGGTACCACTTCCTAATTCAGCAAATGATTCTGGACCTAGTTATTAATTGTGATACTATAGGGAATAGGTGAATTAAGGATTAAATGGCGTTTGAACTGATTGGGTCCACAACAAATGGCTAATAGGACCACAATGTGTGGCCTTAGATAATTCTATAATAACATATATGTCATTAGCGGCCCATTAACATGCTTAAAATTGAATAGTTATTGAAATAATTAAGTTTTTTGAGATTTTTTTGGAAATTAAAATGTTTCGTTTTGTTTCGTTTCGTTTCGTTAAATTTTGACTGTTTCGTTTCGTTTTGTTAACGAAACAATTTTTAAAAATTTTTGTTTCGTTTCGTTTCGTCCGAAAAAAATTTGGAGTTTCGCCCAGGTCTGATCCGTATCCGTCCAATTTTTTGAAAAACACTATCCATATCCGTCCGTATCCGCGGATACCCGCGGATATCCGGATATTATCCGTATCCGTGCACCAGTCTGGGATACACTATTATGTAAATTAAAAATTACAATATTCGTGTAAAAAAATACAATAAAATTACAATACTTCCTTTCTATAATTATTTTCAAAAAATGTTTATTTTAGGAATATTTTTAATTTATTACTTTAAAAACATTTTCAGAATTCATAATATCCATACGAATACAATTTTATTACATTATTTATTAATTATTTTGTTTCATCAATTCTTCTTTTAACCTCAATTCTCTCACATAGTATTCTTGCATTCCCTCACACAGTCAGCTTTAGTTATCCAGCGATTGCTATTTCCACCACATCCCAGATATTTGAAGCTCTGTAAAAATAAAGAGAATACCCAACATAAATTATTTTTAAAAATTATTTACTTTACACTTTCTTGATTTAGTGTCATAATACCAACGAGTAACAGATCTGCATTTTTTACCTCCACGCCTTGAATTCCCTGCATTTTTTGGTTGAGTACAAATCCAGCTAGGCTGAAAATTTCCATTAATATTTAGTAAATAGAAAAACAAGAAGAACAGTGTATATTAAAGGATTTTCCCATATAGATTTCAAACGGAAATGAAGGAATTTTAGAAGTGAAAACTCGATGGAAAACTGAAATATATGTAGTAGTGATGTTCGGGTATCCCGACTCCCGACACCCGACTCGGGAAATTTCCCGAGTTTTTGGCCTCCCGATCCCGACTCCCGATAGCAATTCCCGACTAAGTCGGGAAATTTTTACACCCCTAAGAATGGCTTTTTCTGATAAAATTTTATTTTTGAAGGGAAAAAATAAAGAGAAAAAATAAAAAAAGGGAAAATAAAATATTTAATTTTTTTCCCTAACAACTATTGTTGAGAGGTGGTCGAGTGGTTAAGTTGAGTGCCTAAGTTACTTTGATTGGTCTAGGTTCGAATCCGGGTTTGGAGTATTTTATTTAAATAATTTTTCCATCCAAAAATAAATGTTTTTTAACATTTATTTTGATATTAAAATTTTACAATTATTTTTTTCTATATTATAAACGACAAAAAACTGTAGAAAAATTAATTTAGTCATGAATTTTCAAAAATTTTCGCCTGCGGCGCAGAAAATCGAAGAAATCATTACAAATTTTTCTAAATTTTGCTTGCAGCGCAGAAAATAAAGAATATCAGAGCTCTTAGCCTTGCAAAATTCTCAAAATTTTCGCCTGCGGCACTGAAAAATGAAGAAATATGCCTTCTTGGCCATCCAAAATTCTCAAAATTTTTGCCTGCGGCGCTGAGGGAAAAAAAATTTGTCTTCTTGGTCTTCCAAATTTAAAAAATTTTCGCCTGCGGCGCAGAAAAAGGATGAATCTAGCTCCTTGTCTTTCCAATTCTCAAAATTTTCGCCCCCGGCGTTGAAAATGGAAGAAATTTTACAGCTTGGCCTTCAAAAATTCTCAAAAATTTCGCCTGCGGCGCTAATAAGGAAGATGTCTGGCCTCTTGACCTTCCAAAATTCTCATAATTTTCCCTTGCAATGCAAAAAACCGGAATTTTTGGCGCCGAAGGCGCCAAAAATTTTTTTATTGTAAATTCCCGACTCCCGATCCCGACTCCCGAAGTCATTTCCCGACCCGACTCCCGTTTCCCGATTCCCGAGTTTTTTCTTCTCCCGAACATCACTAATATGTAGGTATTTAGAATTAGTCTTTGTGCTTTCCTACTAATATCGTAATATGAATGTAAAAAATATATTAAGATTAGTTAGATAATATTGAATTTCTATAATTTATTAGCTGTTTTTCAGATAAAAGGTTATGAAACTTGAATTCACCTAGCAGAATTTAAGACGCTTAGGCGGGGGTTAAACGATCTAAAAAGGAAAAAGAGAAAGCATTAGTCGATGCCCCGGTAGCTCATAGGTAGAGCTCCTGCATATAGTGAGCGAAAACGCCTAGCAACAACTGTCAGGTGGTCTCAGGCTCGAATCCTGCCCAATGGCTAAACTTTTGCAAACTCTTTCTTGAATAATAAGAATCTTTCTAAAATAACAGAAATCAAAAATAAGTAAGTGTATATTTACAATCCAGAGTTTTGAATTTTTAGTTTAGAACAAATAAATGATAAATGATTTAATAACTATAATAACTATAATTATTTAGCATAAAAATATTTCTACCACGCTTTTATTCTGTTAAATATAACTTACCGCACACTGGTTCATTTCCACGAAAACTATTAGTAAAAGTAAAAGAATTATGAAATATCGCATATTTTAGAATTAAATATTTTAAATAATTATTTGATTTTGTGAATGATAATTGTTGGTATATTATCATTTTGTTTATATATTCAGGAAAATATAAAAAAATTTAGGATGTAAATTTTTTAAAGAAAAATAACATCGTTAAAAATTAGTAAGATTACTTTAACTTAAATATTTTTATATAAAAATAAATAAAAAATTGAGGAAGTTATTTGCCACGTTTAAAAGTTTTTTGCTTATTTTTATTTTTCTTTATTGGAAATAATATAATATTTGTCAAAATAAATTACACGTTAAATTAAGATGGCCAATTTTTATTTTTTTATTCAAAACAAATATTCTAACAGTAAGCATCAAAAATTAAACATTTACAAGCATTATTTATTATAAAGTTTAGTATATATTTTTGATAGCCTCGTGCCTTTTCGTAATTGAGAAATAAGCAAAAATTTAAAATTTTATGATTTTTTATGGCAAAGGCATTTATTTCCGCATTTTTAGGTCGTATGTTATAATTTTTGAATTTTGGAGGGCTTTTAAATCATAAATCCCTTATATCATCCATTTTCTGCGCGCAGTGTGAAAAACTCTGGACATTTTTTAGTCCAAGGAGCAATATTTCTTCCAAGGATTGACCGATTTAACAGAAAATATGTCTTTTTTCAACCCGAAACCCGACCAGTGAAATTTTTCTTAACTTGAACAAAACCTGACTTCTACCATAGAACTACACACTTTTAATCTCTTTATATCCTTCTTAATCTCAAATCACTTTTATGCGCCGCAGGAAAAATTTTTGAGAATTATAGAAGGCCAAGGGGAAAAAATTTATTAATGGATTACTTTTATTATTTTTTTAAAATTAAATTTACAATTTTAAAATCAATGTTAAAAACATTTATGTTTGGAAGAAAAAATTTTTAAACATCATTTCCGAACTTTGGTTTCGAACCACCCTCATCAGAATATCAAAATGAGTAAAGTCAAACATCCTAACCACTCAACAAAAGAACAATAGAGAGATTGCCTTTAAATATTACTTATCCTTTTCTTTCAGAAATTTTATGTCAAAATTACAGAAAAAATATTGGAGCAAAGCTATTAACTTTTTGAAAGTTAACTGGTCTTTTTATTTAGCTTTATAAAAAATTTTAAACAGAAAAAGTTGTAGAAAATACTCTTTAAAATGAGATACTAAATATCAATATCCTTTATCGGTAAAAATTTACTAAAAATTAAAAGATAATAAAGCATTTCTTAAGATTACAGTTTGATTTTAAATATCATACATATGTGTTCCAGGGATGTCACGGGTTACCCGAAACCCGATACCCGAAACCCGAAACCCGGCCTTTTTTTCGACCCGATACCCGAAACTCGATCCGAGAAATTTTCTAAAACCCGACCCGAAACCCGACCCGAGAATTTTTATTTTTCAAAACCCGACCCGAAACCCGACCCGAGTTTTCTCAAAATTTTCGCCCGCGTCGCAGAAAAAGGGAAGATTTTTAGCTTAATGATCTTCCAAAATTCTGAAAATTTTCGCCTGCGGCGCTGAAAAAGGAAGAAATCTGGCTTCGGACCTTCAAGAATTCTTAAAATTTTCGCCTGCGGCGCTGAGAAGGGAAGATTTTTGGCTTTTTGGCCTTCCAAAATTCTCAAAATTTTGGCTTTTTTCGACCCGAAACCCGAAACCCGATCCGAAGAAAATTTTGAAAACCCGATCCGAAACCCGACCCGACTTTTTGCTCAACCCGAAACCCGAAAACCGATCCGAGAAAAATTTTGGAAACCCGACCCGAAACCCGACCCGACATTTTTCTCAACCCGTGACATCCCTGATGTGTTCCATAAATTCTTTAAAAATCCCAATAACAATTTCAATGGATCTAATAGAAAAGGAAAAAAATAAAGTTAATAAATATCGGCTCTCAACTCCCAAAAATAAACTCGAAAGGGGGTACAGTACAAAGATATCCTCAATGACGTCCTTTCGAAAGCCTCTACATAAATAATCTTTCACATAATTATACAGCAGTCGCAACATCCATCTTCCGTTTTTCCATTTTCCTCATGAATGTTGGGTTGGGGGATGGGCGATGTAGGGGGGGGGCAATAAAATAAAAAAAGAATAAAGGATTTAGGAGAATAAGAGAGAAAGAAATTAAACGTTAAATTTTAACTTCAAAATTTCAAAATCCCAAAAATATTGTCAACTGAAATTAATTTCTTGTGGATTTCTAAGGCTCAAGCGGTAAATGTCCACTGTCCACCTCGCAATCCATATTTCCGCAAAAGACATATTTTTTTAATATTTCAAACAGAAAAAAACTTTAAAATTTTTAATTTAGTCATAAATTCGATTTAGCTAAAAATTAGATTAAACAAATAATAGCTCATTCGAAAGAGCTTGTCGAGCTGATGCGAATGACATCAAAATCAACATAATTAAACAAGATTTGATACAGTTATGACATAAAGTAATCCTATTGTAGTCGTGAGACGCTTTTGCAAAGCCTTTCTTTGCGCAGGCTTTTTGTCTGTATCTCGGCCCAAAGTTAAGACCTGGGGTTGATTTTGGTGTCATCCGACACAGCTCGACGAGTTCTATATCCTAAGACTGACTGACCATTTTTAATAATTTTAGGAAGGAAAAATGAGTGGGGTACGAACCGAACAATTACCGTTCTGGCTTCATGACCATCTAAACTTCAAAAAAAATTTGCACCGGCTCAAACAATTGAATTTTTTCTACTAAGACTTTCCTAAATTATCAAAATTTTTGCCTGCGGCGCAATAAAGTGATTTGAAAAAAATATTCAAAATTTTTTGAAATTTTTTTATAAATTACGAATTACGGCATTTTTTTAGTTACGAATTACGATTCCGAAATTTTTTAAAAAATTACGAATTACGATTACGAAAAAAAATTTTTAATTACGACGCAACTCTGTTACGACGCAACTCAGAATTTTTTGAGAGACCAATTCTTCAAAATTTTGACTAAACGAAATTAATTATAAACTCAAATTTTGTTGAATTTTTAGCTCCGTATCATTATAACTATAAAATCTTTGTTAACTTAAAATTAATAATTTTGACCTTTTCCTTTTTAACGATTTTTTATTTCCTTTCTTTCGTATCCTTCCAAATGCATTTGCTAAAAAAATCGAACAAACAAAAATTTACAAATTTGTTTGTAGATTGTACATATTTGCCTTTAAAAAATGAGAAATTTGCCTATTGAAATAAAACTTAAAATTCTTAAATATTTTGATTTTGATGATTTATTTTCACTTAAACAAACAAATAGACATTTCCGAAATTTAATTGTTAAATACGAGGATGATTTGGCACGTAAAAAACAGAAGTCTTTCAATAGTAATTTAAGTTAGTTTTTTTGTTTTATAAACAATTCAGATTGAATGTCAAGAATATATGCCAAATTCTGTAATAATTGACCTTCCATTAACCAACCAATTTTTGGATAAGGCGAAAAGGTTCGCAGATTACGAGTGCGATGGTTTGACGTACAAAAAGGTTTATTTTGTAGTGATGGGAGATAAATGAATTGTTTAAAACAAAAAAAATCTTTGAAAAATGTAAATCGTAAAAGGTTCAAAAATATCGAAATCGAAAATATTTTTCAAAATTTCGAACTCGAAAATCGAAAGGAAAACCCTCAAAAATCGAAATTGATGTGCATATGCACCGTTATGCACAAAATGGCTTAAATATGCATATATAAGCATTAAGGGATCCTAAAGCTCGGATCAATGTAAAAATACCATTTTTTAGCCTTTTTCATTAACATATTCGTATACTAAACAATTTCACAGCCCTATTGATTAAATAGGGTCACGCCCAAACCGGCGCTCGGCCATAACGGCAAAAAGCCATAACTTGTTCAAGATTCGAGATTTCCTTTACTAAATTTAGTATTAAACGATTGATACCAAAATTGATAAGGCCCAGACATTTTAAACCAAGTTATGGCTTTGCGCCGTTATGGCCGCACGCCGTCTTTTTGTTATATTAATTTTATTTTTTTTCAGTGGAAATCAGCAATTGCTAGACAAATTCCACTTTATTTAATTATTAACGAAAAATTTTCTCCACTAAATAAAAAAATAGCCTTATCAATAGGTTAATTAAAGTTTTTTTAATTTTAAATTTTTTAAAAATTTATCAGATAAATTTGGGGAGCCTTTTAATTTACACCTTCCTTTATTTTCAAAAAGCATTGAATATTTAAAAATAATTCGTTACTAAAAAAGATTGTCCGTTGTGTTTTTAATTTGATTAATTTTACAAATTGTGTTTTTAATCCAGAAATTATTGAATTACTTTTTGATAGAGAAGAAATCCAAAAATTTAATTTTTTTGGGGAAACAATTAAAATATTCTATCAAAATACAAATTTATTTAAATTTACTTTTGAATATTTGGAAATTAATAAGAATATTTATTTAATTTGTAATGGATACGACAATATGAGGGAATTCAATATTTTGTTAAATATTTTGTTGAATGAAGGAAATAAAATATCTCAAGTTTATATAAATCGTCCAAACAAATATTTTGTTGTTCTTTGCAATCAAATTTTACATGTAATTTTAATTATCAATTGAATTTGGGGTTATATGTATAGACATAGAAAAAGGATTGTAGCAAAGGCTGTTAATTTATCTATCGATCTTTGGACTTTCTGACCATTTTTTACATCTTACATAATAAAATCGACAGGGAAGGGACTTTAGGAGTATGCTGTTAGGGTCTACGAGTAAGGTTGTCGGATAGTAGAAAATCTTCGAATATCCGGATCCGATATCCGAACCTAAAATTTCCGGATATCCGGCCTTTTTCGGATCCGGATCCGACAAACTTACGTATATTATTATAATATAATTATAATATAATTATAATATAGTATATAATTATAATATAAAATAAATATTATATAGTTAAAATATAGTTAATAAATCAAACGACATATCTCTATGTAGTTTCTCTATTTTTCCCTTAAAATATTTAAAAGAGATCGATAAAAAAGTTTTAGCATATGGAAACGTCAAAAGATTGTGCAAAAATGGTGCCTAATATTGTATTTAATTCAACAAAATGGCCTACTTTAAATATTAGAGGAATTGAAAAGAATAATAGTACTAATTTTAGAAGTACGAAAGAATACGAAATTACAAATATTCACAATTCTAATTTAAAATTTTCTCTACGCCTACACGTATTTACTTTTAGACGATCTAATCCTATTAGTGAAGTCATAATTAAACGGATAATAAATTAATTAATTTTTATTTACCGTATTTTTTCTAAAATAACCCCCGGGTTATTTTTTTCGATCGACCTCTAAAGGATGGTTATTTTAGAGAAAATACGGTATTTTTAAAATCTCAATTTTATAAAATATTAATCAGTAAAATTGAAAATAAAGGGGTTTCGTTACTCTTATTTATTCTTCTAGTACATATTCTAGTTTCTTCAAGTATTAACATCAGCTCCGCAGCCGAAAATTTTTTGAACTGAGTATTTCCATATGATAAAAATTCACGTTCCCCCAATTGATGAAGAAATACAATTATTTTTCGAAAAATGATAGAAAAATTACAGAACAGAAAATTTCCATTTTTGTAAAAAATCGGGTAGGATAGACCTGGCACATGATATCTCATTCAATTTAATCTAAATCCAATAATTATTCCAATATAATTTTTGTAAGAATTTTTTGTATGATAGCTGCACCATTCTTAACGGTGTTATTTATTTCTAAAAATTAATTTAAAAAATTAAATAAACCATTTTACTAGCCTTCCATCCGAATACTACCGCTAGACATTACCCACCATGACAAGCTATGAGGCCTAGCCATGTCGGCCGTCAAAGCATTGCCCATAGTGCTATTGCACTTGGTTTGGGAGACCAGGCACTGTGATTATTATCAAACGGAGTTGATATAATCGGTCCTATGAGTCGCTCACACCTAACGGGAAACGGCGGCCAGCTGGTTCATGATTGTTGACTTTTAATTTTACTTAAATAAACAGCCTATATTTTATTTCAAATATTGTATGGGAATGAAACTAAAATAAAGAGAGAATTAAAAAATGAAAAGATAAAATAGTGTGTATAAGCATGCTTATTACCTTCTCTCCCTTTTTTAAATAATTTTCTCTTGCATTTGAATTTTTTATTGAGTTTACGATTAAAATTTAAAAAATGGCTTAAACAAACAAATATTATCCTACTAAAGTATTTTTTATTAAAAAATACGTGAACCTTTTACTGACCCTCCATCCGAATACTACCGCCAGATACTACACCCACCGTGACAAGCCGGTGATCATCTAGCATCTCTTCGGTCACCAAAGCATTGCCAATAGCGCAGGTGCACTTGGTTTGGGAGGACCTTATGGAGGACACAACGGTCAAATGAAGCTTGCTTCTACGCATAATTGGCCACTCGTACCCAACGGGAAACGGCGGTCATTAGGTTCACGCTGCTACTGCCTTTTCTTCTGCTTATATACAAACCTAGTTTATTTTACTTTAAATTTTCTATGGGGAGTACAAAGCACGTAGAATTAAAGGAGAAAAGAGTGAATGAAGTTTTTATTAGAATAAATAATTAAATAAAAATATTGTTAATTAAAGAAGCGTACTTATGTAGGTAATTTGAAGTAATTATTAAAATTAGAGTTCTTACAACAGGGCTTCGATTCGTACTTATGTAGGTACTTTGGAAGTACAGTACTTACAAATAGACTTTTGTCTTAAAATTTAATTTAGCATTGAAAATTATTAAAATTTTTACCTCGGCTGTAAATTGACTTTTATTTTGATAAAATTAAACTATAAATTTTTACCAATATATTATAAATTCTTTAGATTTATTTTCGAAATAGTAAAATATATTTAAAAAAATACGTTTCAGTGAAATTATTTTTAATTTACATAAACAAAAAATTATTTTAAATTTTTATCAAAAACTTCTAAAATCTTACTTCCTTTATGCTCGATGTTTAATCAAATAAAGTTAAAAAATCTCAACTGATTAAATAAATTTTAACAAAATACACGAGATTTATTATTCACATGGAGGTTGTTAAAAAGAATTTTGGCAGCATTTTCAAATAAACAATGAGTATTTTATTACTATTTAAAAACTATCACTCCACGTTTCAAAGGAAGTAGTAAATAGGTAAATAAATATTAATGTTTATTTATCTACGGAAAGTCACAATTTAATTTGTTGTTGTTGTTTTAACTCATGATTCTTAACTCATGAATTTTTATTCAAAATAAATATTAGTAACAATCTTCATATGATATTAGGTATGATGTAAATTTGTTATGTAAATTTGTAATCTAGCAGCATTTAAAACGCTTAGACGGAAGTTAAACGATCATAAATAGGGTTGCCAAAATGGACCGACTCGGACCGAAAGATCGAGTCGGGCCTAGATGTCTGGTCCGAAAAAGACTCGTACCGGCCCGACTCGATAAAAACAAGCCCAAAAAAATGACTTGACCGTCGGCCCGACTCGAAAACGGCAATCCTAATCATAAGGAAGAGCTTAATCGAACTGTACGGCACCTAGTTTATTTTTTAAATGATACACGTTTCTCACACTAGCTAGCCTACATGGAATGGATAGCTCCATTAGATATATTTTATCTTGTTAGTTTTTTAGAAATTTAGTTGCTTCATTTTGGATGATTAGCTTAAATCACTTCAGAGTATTTTTGGAGATAAATATTTTAAATTTGATTTATTATATTTCTATATACGGGCATCTGAAATTAGCTTCATAAAATTATTTCTTTTATTATATATAGATATAAATTAAGTTAGCTATCATGAAATGTTTATATTTATTTCTATTTTTTATAATATGTTCACTGCTTAAAATAAGCTTATTACAGGACTGTTGTGGTCCTGGTTGTGAAAATTGGTGCTGTCCTCCATGCCCGGGATTAATTGGTGATTTAGGTATGTTTTTATATATTTCTAATAATAAATAATTTATGTATATTAAAGATATATATGCCTAATGATGAAACGAAAATAATTATAAACAAAAATATAATTAATGAAGAATAATTTCATATAAGCAATAATAATTAAGATTTAATATTCGAATTATTTTAATTCTTAATTGCAATTAAAATTTAATTATAAAATTGATAAAGGAAATAAAATAAGTATTGTCTTTAATTCACTTAATAAATGATCCTCTATAAAGGCCTTTTATTAAATACACACCAAACACCCTCTATGTAAACGTTTGAACTTTGCATTTGTTGCTTTATCCCGTAATCGCTAAAGCGCTAAATATAAAGAAATGGATAAACAAAATATTAAAATTTTTATTTCGGCCATTTTTGACCCTAACTAAAAGAATACAAAGACTTTAAAATATAATCAAATAAAAATTGAAAAAATATTTTAATTTTTTAAACTTTCTCAATTACTTTCTCCAATTACTCTCTCTTTGGAAGTCATCTCCAAAACTTCAATTACCAATAACCTCAGAAATTTTCTGGAGAAAAATATTTTTCTTTAACCCATTTTCTTCCAAATCAAGTAAAATTTTTGATCGAAGTACATTAGCCGTTTTTTGATAAATATTGCTTAAAGACAGAAAATATTAGATTTTTGTATTAAGAATTTTTAGTTTGCAACTAGATAATATAAAACTAGAGACTTTTTTTTTAATTACTGGATTTAAACCAATAATAGTGAGTTTCACTTAGAGTTATGGATTAATGACTGTTCGTAATCGGAAGTATTCAGATTAGTATTTATCTCCTTACTTGTCAATCAACATTTTATCTAAAGCATTTTGGAAGTCAGCACCAAAAACTTCACTATCCACTCCATTCTCATTAGATATATTCAATTGTATATAAATTCCGATCCCCAATTGTTCAACAAGAGAAGAATTATAAAACTGATCACCAGAGCATGGGATACAAATTAAGGGAACACCTGCATATATCGCCTAAAAATAATTAATTTCCTAAGTTAAAATATATACAGATCCAGTGCCACAAATCCCGGCCCACACAATTACAGATTTTGGAAAGAGGCTCTTTTGAAGAATTTTAGAAGCAAGGCCTTTCATTGGAAGCAATTGCCTATGATTTTATCTGTTGTGAAAGACGGGGTTGCAACTGGCCTGGGATTCCCTTATTGTGGATGAGTGCGCGACCATATTGGGTAAATTTAGTAAGCGTTTGGACGCGTATATCTTGGCGGAGGGAGGACATTTTGGACATTTGTTATAATACAGAAACTAGAAGAAAAAATACCTCAGTCAAGCTATTTTGCCCACAATGAGAAATAAATAATTTTGTATTTTCTTTGGCTGTAAAATAAAGATTTAAGTTCAAAATTAAGTTCAATCTATAATTCACATAAAATCTCCTTTTGTGGAAGAATTTCATCTGTCACATTAATAATGTCTTTATTATAATTTTCTGGCACAAATTTATTTAAACGAACTTTAAATAAACAATGACTGTGCTTTTCTAATTCTTCAAACATTTTTGCAATACTTTTATGATCAAAGTCTCCGATTAAATTAACCGTTCCAAATGTGAGCAAAACAACGCAATTAGGCTTTGAATTTATAATTAGACCCGGACATTACCGTACTACCACCGGTATTTTTCGGTATTTATTAGTATTCCGTATGGTACAGTACGGAAACTGACTGATATTGGACAATGCGGGATATGCAGGAATTAATCCGTTTCAGAGGTGATCAGTGATTTGGAAGGATAACATAAGATTTGGACAGATATTGGAATATAAAGGGACATGGAATGGTTAATGTGGTTTCTGTGGATATTAGCGATCTGGAAGGTTATCGAGGCATTTGGAGGGTAGCGAGTATAAATCGGCCGGAAAGGGGTAGATAATTGATATACCGCGGATTTGTATATCATATCTGTATCCATCAGTATCCATATCCGTCCGTATCACGATATATAGGCGAATATCCGGAGTCAGATTAGAAGAGATAAAAGTCAAATATAACGTCCCCTCAAGTGATTGTTTCATCATTGCAAGGAAATTTATTTAAAACAATCTTGAGATGAACTTACCTCATCTTCACTGGCTTTAACCTTTTCTTCTTTAATTAAAATTTTATTTTGCTCAACAAGAATTCCTCCAATATAAATAATATTTTCAGAGCTAGGAAATTCTTTGAACTTTGCATGAAAAGGCTGATTGACAAAATGAAATTTAACCTTTTTAAATAAAAGATCTACAGACGAAGGTTCTCGTAGATCTTTAACATTCCCCTCAGTATGAAAAGAGTCGAAAATAAATAAATCAATTCTTGAATGAGTAAGTGCCAAATTTCTATTAGTAATCTCACTTACTAACGAATTTTCTTTATATCTTTTACTTTCTTTGTTCAATAAACCTTCATCGTTTAACCAGTCTCCAGGTATTGCAAATTTGAATTCTTTATTTGAAAAAAATATTTTTGTGGGTGCCAATAAAATACCTGGAACACTGTGTAATTTAACATCAATCCCAAGAAATTGAAGATGCTCGGGATAGAATATAGAAGCGGAGACATCAAAAGTGTTTTCTATTCCCAAAGCCTCAAAAACAGCAAAAGGTCCCTCCATATTATTAAATTCTGCAATTCCAAAAGAGTATTTTTGTTTACTTAACCATTCAAAAACTTCAACCATTTGTTCTCCTATTTTGACTTTTTTGTTTGAAATTATTTCTTTAAAAATTAGAAGGGGTATTAGGTGTCAATATACTGTATTTACTCTAATTGAATGACAGTCATTCTATTTTTCAATACCCCAGAAATTTGTCATCCAATTAGAATAAATACGGTATATTTAATATTTATATTTATTTATATTACCTTCATAAATTCCTATTCTAAATTTGAAACTATGGCTAAATTTAGTAAAAGCTATTTCAATTCCTTCATTTTCTAATATATTTTGATGCAATTTATTTTCAGGTATTGGAACATTAATAATTAAATTAACATTCTTCGGGTTTACAGAATGTCCACCTACACTTCGTGTATAAACTACTACATCCTGAAAATAAAGTTTAAAATCAGAAATGTTGATAAAACTTTAAATTTCTAATGAAAATTTAAAAATATTTTTATATTTTCGTTAAGATTATATTTCTTAGAAAAATATCAGAGATAGTCAATTTCCGAGGGAGTTTCGGCGGGAAAGTGTTCAAACAGCGTAAAATCTGTAATTATTTTGTATTTGTCTCGCCAACACCATTCAAAAATGTACAGCTTTAGGGCTTTAAGGCTAAGTTAACTAGCTAAAATAACTAGCTAAGATCCGGTTTAAGAACAGAAAAAATTAAAGTCTAAATTTTGAAAGGGGTGTGGAAGCATTCTTGTTTTGGGTATATCCAATACGGTAAACTCGAAATCGTCAATTTTTTAAATAAAAATTAAAGTAATTTTACCATTTCATATTTCTCGGATAAAATGTGGGCTAATAATTCCTGAAATTTTAATTAATAAATAATTAAATTAGCATTCTTCTGGTTTACAAATTTTAAAGATTCATAAAACACATTATGCGGTCTAATCAAATTTTATGTTCATTCTTCGTTGATTACAATCACCCGCTCTAATAGAGGGAAGATTCAAAGATACAGTTCAGTTTAAAAAGTACCCCATACTCTGTCCCAGCAATTTGATAAGCTCAATTTCGTGTGTTATCTATATTATAGTTTCCGTAGTATTATTTCTTGAACCTATAACCACAATTCTAATTAAGTAATTACATTAAATTTTGTATGTGAGTAGTAGTAGTTGTCACAAATATACAGGCCCCTTTTCTTTTCTTGTTTTTCCGTCAAATTTAATTTTTCAACATTTTCAGTTAATTCTTTTAAACCACTGGAACTTGCTTCTTCCTCGCAATCATTTTTTGTATTTAAACCTCTCTTGGGTCTATGGAGGGAAAATTTGGAAATTTTATTCCCTTTCACTCCATTTTTCGAATATTTACAATTTTTGTTAGGTTGTGAAATATTCTCAAAAATTAGAATGGAGAAAATTAAAAGAAATAATTTATACATTTTATTCAAATAAATTTAAAAAATATTTTATTTTGAGAAATTCTTTACTAGAGGAACTTTATTTTATAGGCAAAATTTGTCTAGATATCTAGTTATTTTATATTTCAAAATTCCTTACACTTTTCGTTTATGCACTTTTAGTAGTTATGAAATAGTTAAGTAAAGGTCTGTTTTGCTTTTAATATCATTTATACCATTTTATTACATCAGATGATGTAAGAAAGGAAATTACCCGACAAGAGAATTCGAGATTAAATTTTGGCTTAACTTTAGGACATGCGTCCCATGAGCTTTTAAGCGTCCCAAAATAGTAGATGCGTCTCATGAGAGTAGCTAAATCTGAGCCAAAATTTTGATTAAAGGGCAAAAAATCAGATGAATTAAAATGTGATTAAAATTTCTTCAAAAATGCACTTAACATCCTTCTTAATATTTATCAAAATAAAATGAAATATTTAAAAAAGCTGATTGTACTTTTTGTCTAATATTGTAAATATTAATGAAATAATAAGATATTATCATAACAATTATCTTAACCTTTCAATATCTTATTTAATTTTTGAAAATCAAGTTTTGAAGAAATTATCAACTATCAACTTTGTCTATATATAAACTATCATGTTTCAAACTATCAAGTTCTGAAGAAATTAGAAAAAATAAAAAAGATGAAGTATTTATAAGGTGATGATTATTTTATTTGAAAAAAATTATGACAATTGTGAGCTATCCAAAACCACATAGCAACTTAAAATAGGCAGAGGTGCAACCAGCGTTTCAGTGTGGGAGTATTGTTTAGTTGGTTACTTGATGGCAAAAAATGCAAGAGGTTCGAATCCTTTCAGTGAAAATCTCAATATATCGTTCCTATTTAACATCTAATGGCATTTTAAACTAAAATACATTTTCAGAATAATTTTTAAAGTGGGTTATTTGGTCATGTAAAACTTTTTTAAATCAATAAATCCGATCCCCAGTTATACATATTTATGAAATTTACATTATTTGATGAGCGATAAAGAAAATTTTGAATGTTAAATTCTCTGAATTCAGTTAAATTAAAGCATTTTTTAATTAAAAATTTTTTATTAAAACACTCTTAAATAAATAAATATATTTATCGTAAATATGAATTATTCAGGTCTTTTCTCTGTTGTATTTCCTCCGAACACAAAAAAAAGAATAGTTAAAATAATCCAATCATTCATTTAACTCTAAATTTATAAAAAAATTATATTTAAAAAGCTTATTAACAACCATGCATTCCTTTCTACATTCAGCCTTATTAAACCACCGATTGCTACTTCCTCCACATCCTAGATATTTAAATCTCTAAAAATAAGGAAAATATCCCTTATAAATTGTTTTAAAATAGTGCCTACTTTACACTGTTTTGCTTTAGAATCATACCACCAACGCATAACAGCTCTGCATTTTTTACCACTTCGTCCTTTTCTTAGAGGTTGAAAACAAAATTTGCTCTATAATGATTAGAAAGATTTATATAAATGATTATATATCAATTGTACGAGATGTCTCAAAGAATCTCTATCTCAACAAGAGTGGCCCTTTTGCTTCATTTGGGAGGCATTTGCCCCTTTTTTGACCTTCTCGCCATCTTTTTGCCCAATTTTTGGAAGGGTGTGCGGACATATCGGGATCGGGGCGACAAAAATAATTTCTTGCGTGTTTACATTTGTTCTAAAACTTAAGAACTCTATTCATCAGCAGGACAATATACTATCCAAGACCCAGTGGCCGTAGGTACCGAAATCAGTAGGGTAACTTTTCGTACATTGAAATATCCCGATATGTCCGCGTGCCTTTGGAAGTCATGTCCCCTTTAGCTAATTTGGAAAGGGCCACTCTGATCTCAATAAACTAGAAGTTCATTCGAGATCTGGTCTCGATCCGATCTACAATAACTATTAATTCATTAGTTTATTGTAGATTATAAAGTTTTTTGAAAGATTCTGACATTTATTCTGTTAAATAACATACCGCACTCTGGCTAATTTCTACGAAAACTATCAGTAAAAGTAAAAGAATTATGAAATTACGCATATTTTAGAATTAAATATTTTGAATAATTATTTGATTTTGTGAATGATAATTGCTGGTGAATTATCATTTTGTTTATATATTCAAGAAAATTAGAAAAAAATAAAAATGTTAAAAAGCCTGACTAAATATTTAAATAAAAATATATTGTTAAAAATTAGTAAGGTTATTCAACTTATTTTTCTATAAGTGTAGATAAAAAATAGAAGAAAGTATTTGACACGTTTATTTTTAAATTTTTTTCTATTTTTTCTCATATGATGAAAATAACTGTCAAAATAAATTAAATTTTTAAAATGTTTATATTTTTTATATTCAAAAAAATAATTTTAAATAAATTTCAATCAAAATCACTAAATTTTTTAAATTTTGAAATTAAAGTCCAATTAATGTGTTATACAAATTCGCTGAACGCTTTTCTCCTACTCATATGAAATGTTTGAAATTTTAAGATTTGCCTAAATCATCAGTACTTATTTTTTGCTCGTACTCGTATAAAATGTAATCACACAAGATTATTTATGAAGACATTTTACTTCCGATACGAACAACTTTGAAACAAAGTTTAATAATAGTTTGACAACTAAAAATGTTAAAATAGCCATTCCGAGCCCTGCCAAAATCTAAAACTAGATTAATTCAGGGTCGAGAGTGCTTGCTTAAAACGTTTTTATTTTTTTATTTTCCATTGCATCGAGGAGAACAAATATGTTTGTTACTTATTAATTTTGCATAAAAGCTATAAGTTTTGACGTTATGGCTCTTAAACTAAGGATTTTAAACTTAAACATAAATATGTATTATATTAGTCATAAAATAATAATTAATAATATTTAATAAATAATAAATTAATTTTAAAATAAATTTTCGCAAGAAATAATAAAATCACAAAATCGTTCAATTCCTTTGTAAATCAATCAAATTGTATTCTTTAATTTTTTCAAGACCTTCAACCTAAATATAAAAATAATTTATTAATAAAAATGCTAAATATCGGAATTAGTTCATAATTATCGATACAATTTTTCAATACCGAAACAGATAGAAACCGGGATTACTATTATCAAGTCAAATCCTGATTTCTATGTTTCGGTATTGAAAAATAGTATCGACAATTATAAACTAATTCCCATAGTTAGTATTTTTGCAGATTTACATTTAATTTATTTTGTATTACTTTTATTTGTATTTTTTTCAACACTATAATCGCGCAAATGCGCTAGTTGTTCGCTCAAACAATTGAAGCTTTAAGAATCTTGGGTCTAGTATATATTTTTTCATACTATTTCAGCTCATCCTTGGAACTGGGAATTATTTGAGGGAAGATGATATTCGAGTTTTGATAGAGCACTTGAGGGAGGGAAATTATAGTTTCATCAAATCCTTGGGATGGGGAATTAATCGAGAGGGGGTTATACGAATGAGTGAATTAATCAGAAAATACGGTAATTTTCTTTAATTTCATAGAACCTTCGTAATATGTTCAAAAAAACTAGAACGATTTTCATAAATAAAATAATTTTTAAAATTATTCTACCATAACGTAATGAGTTGCGGCATAAGGCATTAAAGAAATGAACAAATCAGTATATGTGTCCTCTTTTGTTTCGATTTCAAAATTAATCGCTTCCATTTTTCCATAAAAATTTAATTTGATCGTTTTTCCTTCTTTTAATTCTAGATGGTGTTGAAGTAATTTAGACGTTTTTTCACCGTTCCATCCTTTCTGTTAAATAATTAAATCGTTTAATCAGAAAATCGTTCGAAAATACCGATTTGCTCTCAATATATATTTCATTTTGTGAAAGAGCAAAGTCTAAAACAACTTGGCCAACTATAATGAGAAAAGTATTAGATTGAACCTAAACATGTTTGAAGGTGAACTAAAACATGCCTTGAAGGTGAGCTTACGCGTCTAATCTGTTGTGTCCGCACTAGCAGAAAGAATATATATATAAATAAAAATAAATAACCCAGCAGCGGGTTGGATGGTGGCACAGTCGGTTGTGCTTCGGTCTGGGACGTTTCCACTATGGTTCTATTACATCTCCCATCCAATGAATATTTCCACAGCATGAACATCGTATATAATATAATCCACTCAACATTTAACCGTTCAACGTATAAGAGTTACGCGTCCATTTTTTTCATTGGACGTGTAATCTGGACAGGAACCAAAATTTTTATGAAAATTTTTATAAAAATCTTTTTGGACAAAAATTATCCTTATTTTCCTTACTTTTCCTAAAAAAGACTTTTAAATATCGTGGCTCAACTTTCCACTTGACTAATATTTTTCGAGTGCAGTTAAACAGAAGCTTTATGCTTCTAGTAGAGATTATAAGGTAATGAAGTTTATAAAAATATCAAATTATTATAAGGGAATCATAAGTAAAATAAAATTCAAACCTGCATAATGATGTTTTAAAGCTCCATTCAGAAAAGTAACATTAATCGGAAAATTTGAAATCTTGCCAATAATAACGATAGTATCGTAGTCCCTTAATGGCTTTACTTCCAACATATTTGACGGTAATTCAAATTTAATTGAATTGTTGATAATTTTTTTACATTGGTTTGAATCTTCTTCAAATCTAACGTCTTTTATATCCCCCTCAATCTGAAAATATTTTTTCAAAAGTTAATATTTTTTACTTATATTATGTAAATAAATCCTAATGCCTTTTGTTCTTAACAGAAGTAGCCCAGAATTGAGCTTTTGACTAATAAGATTCTTCTTAAAGTATACCGCCAATATTTTTATCTAAAATTTAATAACAATTGGTCTAGTGACCAAATTTCCTTACACGGGAAATAAAATCATACCATAACGTGATTGACTGCCCAAGGAGGAATTCTATGATGGTAATGTATGAAATCTCCTCCATTGATGCTAATATTATAGAAAAACTCTTCAGCATAGATTACTACATTTATATGCACACCGGTTTGCCCAATCGGATTTGAGCGTGTTTCTGGGCCTTCCAAAATTGTACTATACTCATAGCTCCCTTCCGTCCTAATCTCCATGTATGAATTTCCTCTTCTTTTGAAAGTAACATTATTCTCTCCAAGCAATATATATTTCTCAGGTGCAAAGTAAAAAGTTAGCTGTAGCACAGTGATTCCGACTTTTAAAATAAATTTTTTCTTAAATTTAACTGTCCTTACAAGCAAAATAAGGTTCACTAGAATCGTGAAGCAAATTTATTCTAAACTGATTTTTGATCATATCCTTTGCCTTCGGAACATAAGCATCAAAGCATAAAATAATTCCGTAGCTTTTCAAATTCATTATTTTCTTATTATATTTTAGAGAAGTTTGATTAGTATATTCTTCTACACCATAATCCAAAAGTTGTATATCTTTACCCAACTAAATTTTTAATTAATTAACTAACAACTTTTTAGATTCATATTTTCGATTCAACTAAAAACTATAAACATGCTTGTTCCTTTCTAAAATGAAATAACCCATCGGATGGCGGCTCTAAATGGCTCTTTTCCGGGTGTGCGGCATATCGTGACGGACATATCGGGATTGGTGTGACAAAAATAATTTTTTGCGTGTTTACGTTTGTTCTAAAGCTTAAAAACGCTATTTTTCAATAGGACAATATACTATGCAAGACCCAGTGGACGTAGGTCCCGAAATCTTTCGGGTAACTGTTCGTACATTGAAATATCCCGATATATCCGTCCCGATATGTCCGCGTGCCATTTTCCGCGATTAATCCTAAATCAATCTCATTTTCTATTGTTATAGACTTTTTTAAAATGATTACAAAACACACCGAGACTCTATTAATCATCCATAAAGGCAAAGATGTATTAATTTTGCTATCAATTAATTCCTCATCGTTTATTTTGATATGAAAAAAGCTTTTAAACCCATAAAATTTTCCAATTATTACGCACTCGAAGAGCTTTCCTTGTTGAAATAAGGTATTGTTAAAAGTCTTACTTTTAACCTTGATCTCTCTGTTAGTCTAAATAAAAGTTTAAAAATTTGTTTAGTTAATCATGTTTTTGGTAAACATACTTTGGTTTATTTTCCCAATTTTTTCCTTATTTTTTCTCATTTTATGGGAAATTGCTCTACGTGCTGAGAGGGGCCGATCGAAATTTCGATTTCCGACGTTTTTTTCCTACGAGTTCCAAAATTTTTGGTAAATTTCCGATAATTTTTGAAGTATATTTCCGAACGAAGATTTTATTTTTTAAATTTATTTTAATGATCTAATTTATCAGAACGCCAATTTTATATTGATTTTTTGACTATAGTACATACATTTTTTTAACACTGAAGTATTTTTCGCCTAAATTCTTATTCATAATAATCAGCTCTTGTGATAAAAACTCTTTTTGGTTCTACTTTGAAAGAGTAAAATTACTTAAAATTAAGATCAACTCCTTATGTTGATTTGCTCTCAAAGAAATACGCTTTCCTTGCTAGTAGAATCAGAACTGATCTTATAGAGATAACAGCCAATATATCTAACTGTTAATTCATGGAAGAGTATAGATTACAACCATTCGATTTTAAGGTTTTTAAGAATTCTCATCCTTTATTAAATTACTACAATGGAGAACTTCACATTTTCTCACATATGAGATGCGCTAATATTAGTAGCTGTGCCCGTTAAAGAAATTCATCAAACTGTTGATGTGATTGCAAATAAAATCGAAGAATTATCAAAATTAAATATCAACAAAAGAAAAATACATACAATTCTAAGGGACGGTGCTTAAAAAGTTTGAATAATTTTTTAGTAATTTAAATAATACAGGGTCTAATATGATCTCGCTACGTACATATAAGTTAAAAATACTATCTTTTCAATGCTTTTTGCACAAATTAAACCAATTGGCCCAGACGGGAGAAAAAGATCTCATGTTGATTACAGAGTTAATCGAAAAGGTTTGAACTATCCATTATAGCATTTTAAATAGAATTTAAGGTAAAAACAATTTTTTGCAAGGTGAATAAAAGTTCAGAACAAAGTGCTTATTTTCTGGTTTGCAAAAAAACTTTTCTAAAAAAACAAAAGTTGCAATTTAATTATTTTCGCCTCGTCTGAAGCCAAAAATAATAACAATAAAGATATCGCCAATTAATCTGAAGTTAAGTTGGAGCAAATGAACAAACTAATAGAATTTTTAGAGATCAATTAAGATATTAATTAATTAACTAGATCAATTAATTAATGGCTGAGAGAATAATAAGTAAATATTTACTAATGTTAATACTATTTTAAATTAAATTAATATAATAATTTCAAAGAATTAAGACACGTCTCATAAGCTTAAACTGTTTGCGGTAAGATATAGCACTACTATATTACCATTATTAAAGTATTGATCGATTAGAACAAGAGGGCTCTGAAGAGACCGATTATTGGGTTAGAGAAGTCAGAGAAAAAATTTACTCTGTTCCCATATAACCGGTCTCTTCAGGCTCTCTTGTTCTAATCGATCAATACTTTGTTAACCCACTCCTATAGGAGGTTGTGGGGGTTGAATGGAGTAGTGCGGGGGATAAGTAAAGTGAGGGCGATTCTGAAGCGATTCTGAGGGCGATTCTGAAGCGATTCTGAAGCGATTCTGAGGGCGATTCTGAAGTGGTTCTGAAGCGATTCTGAGGGCGATTCTGAAGGGAAACTGAAGCGATTCTGAAAGCATTCTGTGGCGATTCTGAAGGCGATTCCGAAGTCGATGCTGGGTGATCAAAAGTATTGCATCAGAATCCAAAAGGTATCAAATGTGGCCTGGGGAAATTCTTGACACGGGGGTGGCTGTAGCCTGAAGCGGGGGCCGTGTCGAGTCGGGCCGGCGGGTAATCAATCGATAATTTATTTTTAAAAACTTTTGGCTCTCAGCCACACTGAAACGGCTACTCTGAAACGGCCGCTCTGAAACGGCTACTCTGAAATGGCCGCCCTGAAACCGCTACACTGAAACGACTACTCTGAAACGACTACTATGAAAGGCTACTTTGAACCGGCTATGCTGAAACAGCTACTCTGAAACGGCACTCTAAAACGTCCACTCTGTAATAATTAAGCTGAAACGTCCCTGACCACTATTTTTAGCCGAGTAGAGATTTTTAGCATTTTTGCTGTGAAAAGATTTTAAGGAAATAGTGTTAGAGGGGGCGCGAACAAATCGATAAAAAAATAAAGAGAAATAAAGCCAAACTTGCTCTAAAAAAATCCAATGTATTTGACGTTAGGTTTTAAAAAAATTAAAAAAATTTTTTTAAGAAAAATTTAAAAAATTTTTTTAAGGTAATGTCAAACCCTCCAACAGATTTATATTGGCGGCATGTTAATTTAGTAATTATTAAATTTTAATTTTATTTTTTTCTTGGAATTTTTAGACACATACCCAACTTACTGGAATTCAAGATGGTTGGGTAGTTTAAATTTTTTATTTTAAAAATTATTTTATAGGTTATGGCCCAGAAAAACAATTTTATTTTTCAAGAGTTAGATTTGCAATTACTCCAATTTTAAAAATACAAATGGCTGGGGATTTTTATGATTTGGATAGAGTTTTTAAAAAACCTAAAACTAGTTATTCTTCAAATAATCACTGCTCTGGATTTATAGTACTTGAAGGAAATAAAGACATGTCAGGGAATTTTATGAATTATCTAGCTAAAATTATTTTTTAATAATTCTAAGTTTAATTGGAATATCAGTAGATAATTTAGTTGTAATTAATCTGATTTTTATTTAAAAACATTTGATTTTCATTGCGATTATATCCCGCTTTCTACAACAACCGGGAACTCTAATCCTATGTGTATTTTTTCTTTTCTTTCGGCCCAGTCACGGATATTCTGAAATACCTATACTATGATCTAAGCTGTGCTATTTAAATTTCAGTTCTGAATTATTTAAATTTACTTCTGTTCTTTCTCATTCTAAATATTATTAAAATATATTTTTAATTTTTGACATACAACTTTAAAATATATTTTAAGACAAATGGCCCATGTAACAATGGCTGGTCTAAATACAATGAACAGAATATTGAAACTTTACAAATTTGCCTATGGTTTAATTTATTTTATTTTTTTAATTAAAATTTTTATTTAATATCCAAATAATGTTCCCGGACATACTCGTGCTTTCTCTGGTTATGCAGCTGCTCTTGCATTACAGGATGATTTTACAATAACTAGTGCTGGATTGGTTCGTTTATATTAAATCATCTGATATAAAATAATATTTAAATTAGCTTTCAATGGAGATAACAATAACTCTCGGAAATGAATCTATTTATTCTAATGTAAAACCAAAAGGTCAACTTCATTGCTGGGTTAGGTCATTTATTGCTGATTTATTGGCAAGTACATCAAAGGATTGGATAACTATTTTTGGATTGTAATTTTTTTTTTACTTAAATTTTTGCTTTTTGCTATAAAAATAAATTTTATGCGAATACTTTAATTATTTTAGTCACAATTCTCGAACATACAACAATCAATGGATGGTAAGTTTATTTTTGTAATTTGGTCTTAACTTTAAGTTAACCAATCTCACTTTAAAATACAAATTTTTCTCTAATCTGGTTCAGTCTCCATAATTTAAAATTCAATTATATAAACTCGCTTGATGATAATTTTTTCTTCCTAAGGATGATGAAAATAGAAATCCAAATATATTTTTTAACAAAATTCTATTTTATCATATTTTTAGGCAAGATCTGAACCAATAAAAATTAAATTCAATATGGAAGAATATGATTTTGTTATTCAAGCTGTTTTGCTAATTCTATGCAAAATTACTGGTAAAAAACAATTTATTTAAAAAAATCATTGTACAATAAAAATTTCATTTTAAGATGTAAAGAAGATTGAACATAAACCGAGATTGATGATGCCTTTTGATAGAGGAAAGGTAGAACAATTAAAATTATCAAATTTAATTTTTTGTAAATTTTCTTACAAGTTTTAAAATTTTTTAAACATTCACATCGGCAAAAATTAATTAAAACTTTTTTGCCAAAGTAAAAAAAAAACAGTAAGACTCTTAAGTTAAAAAAATTTTTTTTTAATTAATTTTCTAAATTTTTCTTTTTGTTGAACAATAAAAGATCGTTTATTTGATAACTATAAATAAATTCCTAAAACCGAGCAAAAAATCTTCACTTAGTTAATTTAAATTCCTTTACAGCATTGTTTTCACTACCACTCGTCATTTCATTAAGCATAGGTTAAGCTATACAAAAGATATCAATGTAAGCGATCTTTTGTTCGTATAAAAAAATAGGCGTATTTGCTGCAGTCCCCAACTCATTATTCACTAGTTTCATTTTAAAAATTAATTTAGCTAAAAAATTTAATTAAATAAAACAACTTTTAGTTAAGTTTTATATTAATTTAGTGTTAAATTACCTATATTCAATTTTTAAATTTAGAAAAAAATGTCTTCAAATTCTTCTTCTGCTTCCCGAAAAAGGAAGAAATCACCAATAACTCAAGTCCGTCCAATTACTAATCAGTTGCATCAAAATATTCCGCAGCAACAACAACAACAACAAATACAAAGTCCCAATTTTCGGGGCTATACAATACCAAAAGTAACTAATGCTAATGTTCCTCAACAACAACAACAATTAAGTCCACAAGAAACGGAGGCATTACAAGCAAAACAGGCGTTAGCAGATGAGGTAGATTTTAAAATAAAATTTTATTTAAAAATTAATTTATTAATAAATTAATCAGATAGCCGAAAAACGACGATTGCGTGAAACTACCAGACCAGCAAATCTACATCTATTAACACTAATTGATCCAATTACAAATTTGACGAGTACTGACGTATTAATGCTAGCATGGAAAAAGAATGATATATTTGAGTGAGTTTTTTGGGGGAAGGGGGGGGGGGGGTAAATCTTTAAAAAAAAATAAATTTAAGAGAGTTAAAAGGCTTAGTGGTATTTGTGAAGCGTGCGTTAACAACAAAAAATAAATACGACAGGGGAGATCTTGTAGTGGAGGTCGGACAGACTCACGAGAAAGAGCGCATTTCAATTTTCGGCTGGAACGAGCAGGCATCGAAATTGGAGACAGCAAATATTAATGATGTAATTTAATTAATTTTCTTATAAATTTTAAATGTTTGTTAATTATAGATAGTGGTGTTAAAAAACTTGATCGTTGTACCTGAGGACAATGAAAGAGTAAACTGGGCAGGATCGATAGATTTCAAATTAAAATTTTCAAAAAGCTCAACTTTAACAATTGTAGAACAAGGGCAAATTGCGGCGTCTCAGCAGACTACAAATATGATAGGTAGTTAAAAATTTTAATTGTGTTTTTCGAAAAAAAAATCTGAGTGAATAAGCGAAAATTTTATTTAAATTTTTATTTTAAAAAATTGTATTTAAATTTTTTTAAAAAAATATTATTTAGAGGAAGGTCCTTCAACATCTGCAGCAAATCAAAATCCTCATGTTGGTAATGTGCAGAACTCTTCTTATGCCAGCAATACAACTGCTGCTATTGACAGAGATGTCGAATATGTGAGTATTTATAAATCCTATGGTTTAACGTTTTACATGTACCGTTTGAATTAGAACTTTATTTAAAAAATACAACATTAAAATTGAATTGTTATTAATTTAAAATTTAATAAAAAAACTTTTATTACAATTTTCAAGGATTTTGAAGATTTATGATTTGCTTATTTACTAAAAAGAAGAAAAGAACAAGTTAAAATTGAATTTATTTAGAAATTAAAATTAAATTGAATGAAACTTATTAAAATTTTTTCATTAATCTTTAACTTTCGATTAATTTGCTTTTATGTTTGCAAAAATAAAAATTGTACGTTTGTCTATTATTTGAACTGAAATAGAAATTTGAAAAAAATTTTTAAAAATTAAAAAAATTGTTTTGAGAAAATTTTTTTTTGAAATAATTTATTAAGTAATATGAAATACAGATTCGAAAAAAATTTATAAATTGTTTGAAAATTTTTTTTTAATTTTTGTAAAAATTTGATTTTGTTTAGTAATTAAAATGAAATATAGATGTGAAAAAAATCTTTAAAAAATTTGAAACCTGCTTGAAAAAAGTTTTTTGAATTTGCTTATTAACTTAATGAAATAGAGATTTGAAAAAAATTAAATAAATTTTTCAAATGATTTGAAAAAAATTTGTTATACTGAAAAAAATTAAAAAAAATTTTTTAAACTGAAAAAATATTTTTTTAAAAATTTTTTAAACTGAAAAAAAATTTTTTTAAAAAATTTTTAAACTGAAAAAAAATTTTTTAAATAAAAGTTTTTAAAAATGATTTGAAAAAAATTTGTAACTTGCTTGGAAAAAAATTTGTTTGAATTTGTCTATTAACTAAATGAAATAGAGATTGGAAAAAAAATTTAAAAAATTTTGTTAATCATTTGAAAAAAAATTTTTTAATTGTGAAAAAATTTGAGATTGTTTATTATTTAAAATGAAATTGAAAAAAGGATTTGAAAAAAATCTAAAAAAATGAAACTGTTTATTATTAAAAATGAATCAAAATTTGAAAAAAAAGCTTTAAAATATTTAAAAATTTTTATAGTATTTTGATAAAATAAAACTTGGTTTTGAATTAAATATATCATGATAAAAATATTTATTTTCATTCTTGTCTAAAATAAAAATTTTATATTTTATGAAATGGAATTTGATTATTCTTTTTAGTTTTTTAAAAAATAAAATTTTATTTCTGAATGTGTATTATTTAAAATGAAATAGAAATTTGAAAAAGGAAAAAAATCTAAAAAAATTTTAAACATTGATTAGAAAAATTTTTTAAAAATTTTGAAAAAATAATTTGAAATTGTTATCATTTAAGATGGAATAGAAATTTAAAAAAAAAAGCTTAAAATTTTTTTATAAGTTTTATTGGTATTTAGATAAAATAAAACTGAATTTTGAATTGGCATGAAATTGAATTTAAAAATTGAATTTACATTTATATGAACAAATATTCTAGTATCTTGTTTAAATTTTGTTTTTGTTTAAAATTGAATAAGCTTAATGATAACGAATTATTATAAATACAATGATATTATTGTTTTCACAATAATTTTTTAATGAAATTTTTTCAAATGATATCACTAAATTAGAATAAAAATTCGAATTTAATCAAAAGAAATCAAACGGTACATGATATTCAAAATTTTAGGGGGATTTTAATTAATCATTAGTATTTACTTTTTTAATTATTCTGACAGGGATACGTGAAAAACAAGCGTTAGATAGTCTTACCTACTCTCTAAAATAAATACTCACTAGCTTTTTTTTTAAAAAAAAAGCTAGGGGGCCTTTTTTTGTAGGAAGTAGTGTCACCTTCTTCTGAATTGGCACAGGAGTCGCTTCATGCCGAATCAAATCCACAAGTAAATTTTATTCTTTTTTTTATTATTTTTTAACAAAAAATATAATAGAGATTATATGGTAATCCTGGACATACTCCCCCAGCTCCAGGAATTGTAAGTTATGTAGTACCACCAGACGATCCTGATGCAATTTATTTTCGCGGAGAACGCAGCATTCATGATATTGATTTACCAAAAAAAGGACTCAATGGTAAAGAGCGAAATATATTATTAGCCTCCCGTGTGCAACTGGCAGCAACATATAAATCTAAAGAAGAGGATCCTCTTTGCGGAGTATGTGTACGTGACTTTATGCCGAAACAAAGCGTAATTTTTTTACCATGTTCCCATAAATTGCACAAAACGTGTTTTTGGGATTTATCCCGTTTTTATAGACATTGTCCTACTTGTAAATACGATATGGGTCGGGGCCTACAAATTCCAGAGTAGGGTAAAACTGATTTTTAGTCAATTAAATTATAAAATGAGAGTAGAACATTAAAAATTAGAAAGTTCTCATTTTGCAATTTAATTGACTAAAAATCTTTTGTGCCCTACTCTGGAATTTGGAGGCTATACACGTCGGATTACTTGTCTAGCACGTGTACAAAAAAAATTTTTTTTTGAAAATTTGATATTTTGGACACGTACTAAGTACACAAGTACCCCGACGTGTAACAGTGTCCCCACACATCAAAGACGTCAAGTTTTTTTCTGAGTGGGTTCTTTGACGTGCGGGGCAATTTTTTGTATTCTTTATATAATTAATAATAATAACCACACCCCAATTAAAAAAATATAATGAGTATTTTTTATATAATTAATAATAATAGCAGCACCACAATTCGTAAAAAATCAATGAGTATTTTTTTGCAAAAAATGACTAAATTTGTAAAACTTTATAAAAATTGAGTTGAATATAATATTAATAAAAAATAGAATTAAGTCATTTTCTAATTTAAAATTTAATTTTTAATTACCACTTAAACTTTGGTATTGATATTATGTGTACATAAATCTAAATACTATCATTCTAATTTTAAAATCTATTTTGTTAAGCAATTTTTTCCCTGCCTTTTTTAAATTATTTTTTAAAATAATCTTTACTAAAATTATTTATTAATGGCAATAAATTTGTTTGACAATGAAATAATTTTGTTTGGCAAGTGCTATATATTTTGAGTCTGGCACTCAGTTTAATTTTTGTTTGTCCTATTGTTTGATTGCTTCTGTTTCTTTATAATTTTCTGAAATATTCTTTATTATTCTGAAGAAATCATAAATTACACTGAGACTCAAAATAAATAGTACTTGAAAAAAAATAATTTCCTTGCCAAACAAATTTATTTTCTTTATTAATTATGCCTTTATTAAACTTATATGCTATTTTGCCTTTTGTAAAATTTTTTTTTTGAGTATATTTAAAACCAACATATCTCTAATTATTTTTTTTAGGTATTTTTTTTAAAATTAGAGATATGTTTTATAATATTTTCAATAATTATATAATTTTCAATTTATTATGAATAAATTTTTTTTTATTATTCCTTTATTAAATTTTTAAGTTGAATTTATTAGGTTTGTAGTTTATTATGTATGGTTGTTGTTCTCGTCTGCATCTTTCAAATTCCAATCTTGTTTTAGTGTTTATATGGTGTAATATCTATACTAATATTATAGAATATCATTGACTGTTTTATAAAGGATATTAATTTTCGGTTCCTACTTAAGATCTCGTTTACTGCTAATAGTTGTAGGCGGCTTACTAAAATTAAATTTGTTAATTATAGTAGACTATATTTATTCATATTTAGATTGAAAACATGAGAAACTACTTTGTTATTGAAAGAATAGAGCCATTTGCATCTCAATCACGAAATACTCGTGGTGAGATCGCCCACATCAGATTTAATAATTTGGCCGATCATCCCCGACCTGACTTGGCTCTAACAACACTTATTGAACAACTTTTGGATCGGGTGCTCACCGGAAGACCAGCGCCTCTCCGCGTTGGTCTTCAGGTGCAGCCACCAAATTTCCACCACCCGTTTACCGCGCCACTCAGACCGGTACAGCAAAATAATGCAGCAGCATTAGCCGCAGCGATTGAGAGATTGAACGAAATATCCCAAGCTGGGATAGACCTTCTCTCAGGGACAACAACAACAAAAGTAGTAGCTGTTTGGCCTTTGACTGGCCAACGCACTAATAATCCAGCAGCATATTCGGGTAGGTTCATACTAGTCTTACATTTCTCAAATAAATGTAAGGCAGTCATGTTCCTACAGGTAGTTGCGATCTGGATCAAGATCATGCAGTGTCTTCCCGATGTCGTTCAATTGTGCGCGTTCGCAATCCAAACGACCGCTACTGCCTTGCTCGAGCAGTAGTTATTGGACTCACGAAAATTCGGCTTGTTGATCAAGGCGATGCTAATAATGGATCAGCTCATTTTAGAGCTTTTTGTCAACAACAAGAACAACATTTGCTTTTTGTAAACTATTTAATGAATATAGCCGGACTTCCAAATGGACTACAGGTATTATTTACTTACATTTTTTCAGATTTGCATATTATAGGAATATTCGCTTGAACATGTAGCGATTCTCCAACGATGGTTGAATCAATATTATGGAGAAGGGCACACCCGTATTGTTGTTTTCCAAAAGGAGCAACAGTATCGGATTGTGTTTAAAGGAGAGGGAAGAGCAGCTCGTTACAATTTATGCCTGCTCTTGGAAAATCGTCACTATAACTACATTGGTCGCCCTGAACAACTTTTGGGTGTCAAGCGTTATTGTATTGACTGCGAACGTTCTGTAACGAGATGGTCACATTGGGCCGGTTGTAGTGTTGTGTGCCGGTTTTGTATGCGCACAGGTCCAGACTTTCCATGTCAGGTATAATTTTTTATTTTTTTTACAATTTCT